AGCGCTGTGTGAGCTACGTGATGGCAGGATATGGCATGTCTTTACAATTAAACCTTTCCAAGTTTAACCAGTTACTTTGACCATATCATATGCCACTTTGCCCATAACCATGACAATCACTTTGCCAATCTGCCACTTCACCATTTACCACTTCGCCCATTTGACTCCTTGCCCACATGCCACTTCACCGAAGGCTTTTGTCAAATTGAAAAGAAAGTCACATTAAAACAACTACACTGTACCCAATGCTTCCTGAATCCACCGGAATGCCAGGAAATATAAAAAGACCAAATAGCGTTAGTAGGATGGATTTAGAAACTGTCTAGGTTTTTCTGTGGTTTCAACCGGCGGGAGTAAAGCTAAAAGCGTGGGAGACCGACCAAAATCTGCAATAAAATGATCAAAAGTTTCATAAATATTTCAGTGAGTTGTTTCAAAGAATTCGTCATCTTCATGCATCTAGGTATTTCCAATTTTTATTATTATATCCAAAAACTGCACTCGATAAACTTTTTGGGGATGCTCAGATTTGCAGGCCGACTTGTGAAATTGGGGCATGCATTATACATTATTATACATGCATTATGCATCCCCATAGACGATGTCATGGCAAAAGATAGCAGTGTAGTGTCAATTGACAAAATCACAGCTGTGTGTTGTGCATCGACCAGTATGTGTTTGTGTCAGTTTTCCCGTTTGACTGGCTGCCAATACACACATTATCAGCTAAAATAACCACTTGAATAGCTGTATACGGTCCATAATATGTGCGGGTACATTTTAGCTGCAAATAGGCCTACATGTAATTCAGATACAGTCCATGATGTTTAAGGCTGCGTACATCTGCGTTTGTTTATTTAGGATACAGGTACAATGGATTTCATCTGAAAAAGTCTGTGGGACTATTTGCAGTCTCATTCAGTAATTTACAGTTAAAAAGTACACTGACATGTACAATTTTCTTCTCATCCGAAACAAAAACCTGTGGTGTATATTTGTAGTCTTGTTCAATATGTATTCTACAGTTGAATGAATACTTGTCCATATGCAACAAGACATTTTTCGTATATTTCCTTGGTCAGTGCTGACTTTGACTTCATGTTTTTTAAAAGATGTCTACATGTATGTACAATAGCGTATAACTCCCCTGTCCATCCAACATCAGCCGTTCTAGAGGGCAGAGGCCCTCCCAAAATTTCCCAGTCTTACTCAGAATGCTGAAACAGTGTCTGTGACCATCTCTCTGGCTGATTACTCTACCCTAGCGGGATGTCGCGCTTTGCGCACCTGGGCGTTCATCGTTTGGGTGTAATAATATTCATGGCTCACTTTCAAGGGGTGCAAGTAAACTTGTGGCTGGCCGATACTTGTATTGGAGTCTGTCCTATGAAAACTAGGGCTCTATTTTGTAGTTTCTACGTTCTAATTTTGTTACATAGAAGTGTTTGTCTTTCAGTCTCGGTATCCGCTGAACATTTCTTCAGAATCATCCCATGAACATGCCCCCCCCCCTTCGAAAAGATCAGGGTGTAGCCTAACAAAATGAATGTTTGGGAATTGGTGTATATATTACAATTTTCTCTTCATGGCAAAGCGCCACGTGTACTCATTCACTGTGACAGCACAGACCTGGGGAGCTTCTCCTCAGGGTCAAGTGGTGACCATGATTTTTAGAGGATAGGATTGGCAGTGGCATGCTGTCAGCGAAATGATAACGGGAGATCGTTTGCATGCAGCGCATGCACTTAGCGTGGACATAGACATTCAACATTCATCATTTTCATGCCAACGAAGAGACACGGGCTTGCACGAAAAAGCACTGATAAACCAATGCTGGACTCGACCACCGGGGAATAGATCGTGAATATTTATTGTAATCCCCGTTGAATCAAACAGGAAGGTCGAAACCTTAACCGGTACCATACCACGCTTGCACTTCGCATATGTGGGGGACGGCGCACACGTATCTTGAGTATTCAGCAAATTCCCGAGGACTAATCATGCTGGAATGCCGCAGCAGTTATTACGTCACCGTCAAGAAGGGGAGAAAGCGAACAGTTAGGAAACCAAAGCCGCTCCAGACCAATCAGGTAAGAGCACCCCGCCGGTACTCGGCTCGTCTGCAGCATGGCTGAGAATTACCATAGAGCTACAAACCCACTATGGAACTACAAACACACTATGGAACTACAAACACACGTACGGAAAACCGGCTGCAGCCCATTTCCATCTCCAGTGTATCGGTTGCAGCTATTTCGTTGCGGCTCGTCTTCGCAAATACACATGTGAGCTGCATGACTTTCGGACGCTGATCGGGAAATATTTGGCCCCCTTTTTTTGAAAACAGCATGGTTTGGGCCCGTTTTTTTTTCTTGGTATAAAATACGAAGACATGTAGCTACCATACATAGAAATTTTAGGGGAAATGGAGCAGCATTTCTATGGGCACACAACTAGAATAGAATTCGTGTCATGTTAAAAGTCATGTAGAGTCTATACCGAAAAAGGTTCATTTACTTTGGAGTTCGTGGGAGCGGAGCGGACGCTGGACCCCACGGTTCTGGGGGTAAGGCCAAGGGGCCAAGAAAAAATCCACCATTATGACCATGTCCCCCAGAAATTGCAGTTGCAGCCCATTTTATTTGTCATGTTTGTTAGGCGTAAAACGATCCGGTGATAAAATTAAACAAACCCGTACCTTTGATGAAACAACGTGCAGATCATTAACCCTAACACTCCTCAGGGTTTGTAGCTCTATGGTCCTCCAACAGGTGAAGGATTGAGGAGGGTTAGGGTTAAATGACTGTGGAAACATAACACGGACCCATCCGGAAACAAACTGGTTGGCCGTTAGACCATTGTAACTTCGCTGGTCCTTCGGTGTGTATGGACTCGGCGAGTACACAGGAAAGTGTACGATATCAGGATAAGAAATCGATGGTAAAAGTGACGGATCGTCACTCCACGATCTGGATCAGTTGCAGAGTCTGGTCGTAACGGGCTTTTGAATCCACGGTTATCTATAGGGTTTCATAATACGATGATCGAGCTGCATCAGCAGCCATGGTGATGACACTGGACGACAAATGTTTTCCTCTTGCGCTGGAGGGCCGTAATCTAAGTTATTGGACCACACACGTCGCTGAGATTACAATGGTCTATCCGGTTCGTAAGTGATTCGTCACAAACGTGGACGCGCCACGATTTGAAGGCTCCCATGGGACGATCGCTGAAGTTGCTTGCTAATTTCCGGTTCCATGTAAACGGCGACTAATGCATGTAACTCTATGTGCAGTGCATGTGCAGTGGGCGTGGTTTAAACCGATGTGACGTCACACTTGCGAACTGGATAGGCGAGGTGCTAGTGCACCAATAATTTGTGTGCATACTGCGCTGTGATCGGCAACGCCGGCTGCATTCATTGGTGCGTCAGGTGAATGAGAAACCAAGGTGATAGATAAAATATAGAGTACGTGGACTGCTCTTTCCGCACTCCTCGAGTAGTCTGGTCTGGTGACTGATAATAGTGCCCGTAAGCCATGCAAAAAAAATGGTGGGTGCCAAGCTTCAGTAAGTCTGCAATATGTATCAGCCCTGGCAAAATGTTGCAAACAAAAGAATTTAGATACCACCTGCTGAGATGTTAATTTATCTCCTGCCCTCAAAGCCATACTGCCAGTTGAGAGATTGCTTGACACTGTTCCAGTGACCAGAATGAGCCAATTTGGTACTCGAATTGCGCATCCCTTTGGCGCATATAAGGTCAAAACACCAGTATGTCGGGGCAAGGTCCGCCACTGCCGTATTCTCACTTCCGCGCACTGAGTAAGTTCGCTGGGCCAGGGGTCAGATCTTCCCTTCTGTATTTGCATAAAGGCTTGTTCGTACCTAGTGTGGAAGCCCATACGAACGCGATCAGAAATTCACCCCTGCAAATTTTGCGAGAGTTGAAAGGCCGACATTTACTTACGAGCGAATATGAAAGCGAAGCGAATGGGACGCCATGAAATATTTGCCTCAAAATTTTGCTCGAGTTGGAATGTGTTCAACTTCTGCCAGTCGACAGCGCAAATATTTGATCAGATGTCACAAAGTTGCGTTTGTGTTCACTCTCTTGAAAAATTTCACAAAAGTTCCCAAGGTCACAAACGGAGTCGATCCTATCGTCATCCCCTTCACTTCAGGGATCAGCTTCGAAGGGTAACTGCCAGCGAGATGATAACATAGCAGAACGACGCACTCTGCTGTAACATACTTCAGCATCCGTGCACAGGTGTATTGCCAACTGATGCAACGCGTCGTTGCTTACTTTGTGGACTGCCGCTGCAGTTGTCAGTAATATTCAAAGGCATACGGAATTACACACTACATTTAAATACCCTATCTTTCGTGTGGAATTTACTGTAAATTAGAGAAATGTGTAGGATTCTGACACGGTTGAGGATAGGTGTTTCGATTGGTATTGCGTAATCATGGGCGAGATCCAGGGGGCGCACGCCCTACCCCGTTTACACCCCCCAAAAAAATAAATAATAAAAAGAGAAGAAAAAGACGGGGGGGAGGAAAAATAGGTGGACCCAGCCCCACAAATAAGGCAAAGGCGTAAAAGACAGCAGTTATGTTTCCAGATACCCAACCTCCCAAACCACCCCTGAAATAAAATTTAGTTCACGCCCCCCCCTAAAATCTTGGATCCACGCCCCCCCCCTTCTGGGTCCGCCCCTGGTAATTATGAATAGTTGGAGATGGGGTTTGGTGTAATTACGACTGAAGTTAACACAAGTGGCTCGGAACTGGTATTACAGTTTTGGCCTTGTCGTTTGAGAACTGTTCGTCTCAGGAAATGAGACGAAATGTGGAAACTTCTATACTTGTAATAAGGCAACTTAATGTTACTGCAGTCAATTTTGGATGGTCAAAAAGTCAGAATTACCACGGTGATGAAGATGTAGCAAGGATTATGTTTCATTTTATCTGTTTTCGAACTGTTCATTCGGCAGATTTTGCGGTCCAACTGGCTGGCTTGCTGACACAAACGCCGTTCCAACTAGGAATTTATCTTTGAGACACCAACAAGCTATAGCAGAGGTACACCTTTCTGGTCGCCGGGTTGTCACTTTCACATTTGGCTACCTTCGCCAGACTCCACTTGCCAGCTACGCCCATTTTTTTGGAGGAAGGAGGGATTCCTCTTGATCCAAGATGGCCGCCATCGAGGTAGAGAGAGACCAGGAGTTTGATCTTTGCGCAGTACTATCGTCCGGTTTTGACTGCAACGAAAACACCACCATACCTCTGCCTGAGTTTACGCCTTTCACGGCGTTCAAGGTGGCCACCTTGGCCACCATGATCATTTTCTCCACCGTGGGCAACGGCATCGCCATCGCCGTCACCTGCAAGATCCGCGGCCGGCGGAAGTCCACTGTGACCACGCTGATCCTGAACCTGGCCCTGGTGGACCTAGTGGTCACCTACTGCCACATGCTCTTCCACATGGTCTGGTACGCCGTCAACGTCTGGTTGGCCGGCGATGCGCTGTGCAAGATCGCCAAGTTCTTCTCCAGCTTCGGGCTGTTTGCCTCCTCCTTCATCACCGTGGACGTGGCGCTTGATCGGTGCCTGGCGGTACTCAAGCCGCTGGGCCAGCGCCAGAGACCGTTCCACATCAAACTGCTGATACTGGCGTCGTACCTTCTGGCCACCCTCTTCAGTATTCCTCAGGTAGGTTGCCTTTATAATGACCGGAAGCCATTACTGCATTTGTGCCCAGCTTTTGCAGAGGTGCTACGCGCATGTTAAATGCCTGTCAGACTACAGGATGTCGTTGTTAGTGCCAAAATGCGCGCGCATCTCTAGGTTGATATTCCGGTTCGTTGATGCTGCACCTTTCCACTTAAAGCCTCATCTTTCTTAGAATGAGACGCAATAATTTGGGATGCGGCACGGACACATACGTCAAATGAGACACGTGTGCGTTACATCATGCGCGCAGAAGAAGTGAGCACCGCTCTAATAAACATGTCCATTTTACACGATGTGCCAGTGGTAACATTGGAATCCGACTACATGCAAAGTTGACGTATATTAGCCAATGCGCACTCTTAGGCCGTGGCTAGGCTGAAACGGCCTTCCAGAGCTACGGCTAGGTCTTCTGTCTGCGCGTCTCCGCGCATTTCCAATGGTTTGCAGACCAAGGCCTAGCTCTAGACAGCAGACTCGGATGCATCCTTCTATACTCAGTAGATGCGTAATTGCCGTCAGCAACGAACTGGATAAGAACACTCGCAACATGCGCGTGTATTTTTTAAATGGCGTCTCCTAGGATAAGCGCAGGCTTTGTCGTTTCATAGGAAGGTGACTACTGTAAATCATGGACTTACGAGCGTGGATACAGTGCTAGTCGACTACAATTTCTGAATTTATTTGTTTCTAGAAAGAGCTTGCGGGAGTCTGGTTGCACATTTATGCACTTAATGGTTTTTTGGTAGACTTGTGACAAGTAGATTTGCATATTATGACGTTATTTTCTGCCTTGTTTTTCTATCTCCCAATCCACATTCAGTAAATATGAATATCACTATATTCATAGCATCAAGTATTAATATAATGACTTATCAGCATTCCAGTACAATGCTGTTTATTTTTTTATTTTTTTATTTTTTTTACTTATTTATTTTTTGGTTTTCATCGAGCCCTCAGATACATTTGAGTGTCGTAATTACATGTACCTCTTTGACGCAAATTATACAGAAAGTTTTTCAATCAGTTCCCTCGGAGATAGCAATTATTTTGTTGTCCTCGCTATGCATTTCATTTAATTTCTCGCTTGACAAAGAACCTTTAGGTATTCTGGATATTTTACCAGAGTTGGCACCTTTATTCAAATGTATATATCGTGCCAAACACGAGGTCAATTCATACGAATGACATTGCCACTTCTAGCGAAGGCGGTCTGTGGCGCAAAACCTGTTGACAGTAGGCTTTCGCTTTATATCTGTTTTAGCTCAAAAGTGCGTCATATCATCCTCAGCCAAAGCTACAGCTTTTTGCCAGACATAGAGGGATCCCAAAACGACGCTTTTAGCGTCGATCTGCGCACTTCCGCGTTTGAAAACGAGGCTGTTTGTGTCAGTTTCAATTCTTAATACGATCAGACGATTGAAAGTAAGGAGTCAAGACACAAATACATAAAAGTATGTTAAACTCAGACTTTTTAGGCTGCAAATTTGTGTGGAAGAGTTTTCAGGATGACTGGACACGTGAAATCAAAAGAAAAAATAACGACAATTGACCGCGAACTAACGTACCTGCGATGATCGTGTATCTTGTGCAGTGGGTGTGGTTAAAACTGAAGTGGCATCACACTTACGAATGGGATACTGTATGTACTGTGTCGACTCCGCGGGCGCGCAATGAAGTTCAACACAGAGAGCCTCGGTTTCGATATGCACAGAAGGCGCTAATGTGAAATCCCTCTATTTCGCCGACGGTGGCAATAGCGCTAAAGTGCCATAAAGGACCATTGCAGTTACACTGAGAGACATAAAACAGAATGATATCCTAGCCTACAGTGTTGGCGTTCCGGAGACCTAACATAGGCTGTCTCAGTGCTCGGACAGGTCAATCTTTCCACGGTCGAGGGTGACAGCTCACGAACTGACCCCTGTCGACCTGCAAGCACTTACTTGCAACTCCCGTGGGCTCGAGTCAAAATATCCCACAAGTTGCCAAATCCGCTTACTTCACCTCAAACAAACCTCAGACTAACCCGTAATACCTCAGCGCTCACCCTTCCCGCCGTTTATGACTATTTACCCAAGTCTAATGTTGGATTCCTCGGTCGTGCTCCCGACTTGGAAATCACATCACACCCGCAATCGTGCGCTGTCTTCATTGGTTGTAAAATCGACCCTATAGCGCTGCTGCGATTACGCCATGTCAACATGTGTTAAATTCAGTCGATAAAGACTATGTGGGCAGTGATGGGAATGTCACACTTTGTAACCTGTCGTGACAAGATCGTCGGCACTGACGTCACAGATTTTATCGCGCACCTCTCTTCTCCGCCATGTTTGATGTTCGAGCGTGCCCGGAAAGGGCAGCGACTCGTGCGTTTATCCTTGTCTTGCAATTTGCAGTGATGATAGCAACAGTATTTTCGTCAAAGCACAGTGATAAATTGCAGGACGTCATTCTTTTAGCGAAGCATTCTTCCAGTGTTTAAACATTATGAACAATGTCGTGAAATTAACTACTAGCGAGTTTACCGGCTCAGCAGTGAAGCATGACAAGTTCGATAGTTGACTTAATAACATATAGAGCATAAATAATTTAACACATTGAAAGCACATAACCACGCGTTGTACGTTGGAAGCTCGAACAGATGGACCTTGAATATTTTTTTCAAGTGTGGCAATGACATTTTCAATTCAATTCAATTTAACTACATTCATTTCCTTCTCATGGCAAAATACAGGTACTAACAATGTATGAGCTAAATAGGCCACTAGAGGTGGCAAAAACCTTAAAAGCTGAGCTCGTATCAGGCATGCCATTACAAGAAACAAACAAGACAACACAAAAGAAACAACAAAATACAATCAGGGAAAACTTTACACAAAATGAACATCAAATAAATGACCCCAGGGACTAGAAATGCATGAAATCTATTGCATAAGATAACATGTAACGTCTGAGAGAAATCGGTAAGCTATTTCATAGTTTCGGTCCGGAATATTTGATACTGTATTGAAATGCAGATGTTCTATGTTCGTCGTTGGCACCGCATATGCAAAAGTAAAGTGTCATTAATGGCAAATGCAACTGCATTATTTTCCCACGCCAAGATAGATTGGTCATGTGTATCTTTGCCTGTCGGTCTTTTGAGACACGCGATGGCATAAACATCAGCGTCCTCCAAAGCAGTTCTTTGTGTTTTTCCTTCTCTTGCCAGCGCTTAGTTACCTGAAATCATCAGCAGTAACCGTACCAGTAAAATGGTACCTGAATGGTAAACGGCCTTAATGCATCTTATAAGTAAGCGCGTGCGTGCTTCCCACCCAGCCTCGTCCCCAGGGGGATACTTACATCCAGTTTGGTCTCCAGTAGTACCCTCCTGAAAAGAAACGTTGTTCCTGCATGTGTGCTGTCGATACCGTAACAGTGAGGGAACAAAATCGCGCTTTTTTTAAAAACAATTTCGCGTATTTGGTTTCACATTTGCAGTAAATTACGTCGTGTGCTTTCCGTTTTTAACATTCCCCCGTAGTAGATGTGAGGGGATTCTCTGATACGCTTTGACCTTTTCTAGAGAAATCTGAAAAGGTCACGTATAACTTATGAATATGGATTAGATTCAGTATAAAATGTTTGACCTTTTGTATGGATGAGAAAAATATGGAATAGGCTTAACCAATTGGAATGAGCTTTTGTTGGACCAGTTTGATCTTTGATATAGACGAAAATGAGTGTGGAATAATTTTAAGGGTAAAAGGCTTTAAAAGGGTTTTAAAAGGTTTAAAGTTAAAATTGTCGGCACAATTTGAAGTTTTATACGGATGACAATGAAATGTTATACATTCTTAGATGAAACATGAATGTTATATTCTGTCAAACCCTATGCGTGTAATCAGGGAGCCACAAGGTTTGAACAGGAATCTAATCTACGGAGGCATAAAGAAAATATTGACAACGACGAGGAATTAGACATGAATGCAGTTCACAGTGATTTGGAATCCGTGAAGGAGGCAGAAGACGACGAAGCCCCGGATAGACGGAGATGAGTGTGGTTCAGAATCGGAAGAATTGTTACCTGCCAAGATTGGTTGGGAGAGGCTAAAGTAGCCAACAGAGAAAGTGGAGTGAAAAGTATGGCAATATGCCAAGATGACAATAGACTCATCTCCATCCGAGGTTTCGTAGCCGTAGCATTCAGCCTTCGGTTTTCTAGTGTTTCAGTCTCCAGACAGGATTTACCGTACTTACTGTAGTTCTAAAAGTTTAAATGCAAAAAGCCCGGCTACGCCAATGAATACCTATCACTTGATGCGCCTGGTATGCAGTTTATCTGGTACAGAACCTAAAGAGTACCGAAGAGTGACGCCATCTGAACCAGGAAATGTAGTGCAAACAAATAGGAGTACGCACTCGTGTTATTCACACGCTGGTTTTTGCGCTGTTGCCTTGTTTTACACGTAGTTACGTGCGTGACGTATTCACTTTGGTGCTCAAGTCTTCTTTTCATGGTATAGGCTTAGATCAGTGGTCTGCTGATGGAAAGAGCGTTGATACATCGTGTAAAATTGCCTGTCAAAATGACACTGATTCTGTACCATCTAATTGTATTCTACAGGACTGTAAACAAAAGCTGTGGACTGCGGCAAGCGAAAACGTACGCCTTAATATATGATGCAGAACGTTAAAAATAGTATAGCTTTTATGGCCCCAATATAAACGTCGACTTAATTGTGCAGAAGAAAAATATGACCGTGCCCAAATTGCATTGTGACATTCAACTCTCGTGTAGTTTATCTAGGTACTACCATCTCACTGACACAGCGGCCAAGATGTTTCGTCCTTTTTTTCACTTTGCCTTCTATGGTGTCCGAGGACATTATAAACAATGGAAAACACAATGCCATGGTACACTGACATACGGCCATGTGTTTCGAAAGGTTTAATTGCTCACATGAACACAGTTTTGGCCCTACAGTGCATAAACT